AGCAGCTCCTAACTTCATTATTTCCTGGAGAGTGAGCAGAAAGCATGATACACTCCACATATACTTTGTGAAACATTTGAAGCCCCACTTTTATTAAGCCAGCTGTGTAAGCTTTGTCTTTGTACTACATCCTCTGTGTATGGAGCACATGTTTTGAGTGTGTAGGATATCTACTGCTGTGAGTAGAAAATGAGAAAGGAGCAAGGCTGCATTTCTCTTAATCAACTGCAGAATAATAATTAGAAAGGAACAAAACGTAAGGATTTTGAGGTCTTGAAAATTATCTCCACCTCCATTGCCAGCAGAAAGCATGCTGCATTCAAGACTGACAAGCAAGGGTGAGAGTTTTGCTGAGCAAAATACTTATGTATTTCAATAATTTGCCTGCTCCAGAAAATGGAAAAGACAGAAGAAAGAGACAGTTCTGTGGCCCATCTGTGCTAACCAAAAATGTTTTGAGAAGGTCAGAACGAGTTGTGCAACTGCCCTCGATAATTAAATCTATGGCCTCCATTAAGATTCTTAATGAGAGTTCTTTGCTGACTTAGCCTTATATCACTGGTAACAATTAATTTGCATTTTAGAACGTTTCTATTTATCCACTACTTGCAATTTTAAAATTTGTCTTCCCAGTGTGAGATGCAAAAATCTGAAATGTTTGCTCAGGATTTACTTTTCTAATTTTTGATTACTTAGAGAGAGTAACTACATTTTAAATGTGAATTTTAGTGATATTTAAAAACCGAGTAAAAGTGTTTTCCTCAGTACAATTCAAAATGGTGTTTGAAAATGTAGCCCACAGAATGTTGAAAATCATGTTGATTTTTCAATAGCCTTATTTTGAGAAGTTCATCCTTGGATTCTTCCACTGTGAGAAAAAGGGTTGCATTTCAGGAGTAATTTGTGCTAAACTTGCTGAATGTGTGCATCTAATTCAGTGACCATTTAATCATTTCATTTTTTAATTCAATGAATTAAATCCAAAGCAGCATCACCGTTGTTTGGTCTGGAGGTGGAAAGGTTCAAAAGGTAATTCTTAGGATTTTACTTGATTTTAAACAAAACAAGAAATAAAAATTAACAAACAAACAAAAACAAACAAAAAAAAATTAAAAAAAAAAAACAGACTACCAGATGCGGATGTTTGCTCAGACATTTGTAGAAGTGAGAATGTGTCTGGCTGTTTGGAGCATTATTTCTGCAACGTGATGTCTTTTGTGCCATGGAACCTGCTGCGAAACCTGCTCTATGTGTAACAGCTCATATGGAAAGATCAAGGGTGCATTGCTTTGCTGGCATGGCTGCAGGATAAACAGTTCTTAACCAGACTATCACACACTGCTAGAGTTTCTGAACAAGAAGTTATGAAGTTAAAGACACTGGGTTCTGCCCTCGTTTAAAAATAAAATTCTGCCTGAAAAAGCTGCGATGGAGAATGAAAAAGAAGAGTTTTGAAATCCACGTCTGAACCTGGAAGAAATTTCTGCTGTTAGTGCCTTACTCTCACACAAGTTTAAAAACCTGTACTAGCCAATCCACCAGATATTTCTGAGAGAACACAATCAGAATAAAATCTGGGTTAGGGCTTAATGAAATCCATTTCTGGACAGGATTTCCACCTCTAAAGGTGGAAAGGCTGAGACAGAGAAGGTATTAATGATATTTTCTTCAGAACACTGTGATAGAAAACACTATATCAGTTATGGACTTGTTATTTTTTTGTTAACTGCCATAGATTTGGTTATGTCTTCTAAGTAACTCCTTATTAACCTTTACAGCACTTTAATGGTCTTAGGGCAATGCATGCTCTTGGACATACATATTTCCCATGAACTGTGAGATGAGCAGCATAAAGCTTTCGAACCTGAAGTAGGTTCAAGATGTCATTTCTTTTATTTACATGTAACCACACTCAAAAATTCTCAACGCTTCTCTAAGCCCATGTTTTCAGACATTTTCCCCATGCTTTACACAAAGTTCCACCATTACTCATCCTCCATTTCAGAAAGATGATAACAAGATAAAGGCTTCAGGCATCTCCCCAAATACACCCAGACCTGCCTTCCCTGCTACCCACTGTCTCATGAAGAGGGCACTTGGCTGTGAACTGTGGGGAAAACACATCTTTCAATGATAAGGTTGGGTGATAAATGTCCAAGGCCAGCATGGGACACTGAAGAGGAAGTGCTGTAAATTTACTGCTGAGTCAGCTCTAAGGAGGAGAGCTGGGGTTAAGAATCACAGCTGTCATTTTGCTGTGGGAAACAGTTCAGGGATCATTAGTATTGGTCATTCCCATGAACTCATATTTTGCTAGGAGGTGGCAGCACAATCTGTGCAAATCTCAAATCCCAAAGATGAAAGATTGCCTGTTGTTAATAAACAGGTTATATTTCATACTGAAAACTAAATGTTATTTCCCATTTCTCAGTTCATCTCCATTTAAATTCCAAATAGTGAAACCTACAAACATAATTGATAAGTGAGAATATGAGAGGAGGGTACGTTGCAATTTTTACTTTTGGTTCAGTTTTGTATAATATCACATTTTTTTTCATAAAACAATTCCTGGCTATTGGAAAATGTCGAAGTAAAACAAGGTTCCTAAAATTTTGTATTACATATTGAGATAACTCAAAGCTTTTTGGTCAAATGACTTTTAAGATAAATCTCTTCATTCAATACTCTCCTTCTCCCTTGACTACTGTGAGGAGAAAAATGGAGAAACAAAAGCATTGACTGGACTGCCTGATCTTCCTGGACTTCAGAAAGGCCCTTGACACTGTCCTCTGCAAGATCCTCATACAAAAGGTCTCAGTGTATGGCATGGGTGAACAAATAGTGAAGTGAGCTGAAAACTGTCTGAATGTCCTTAGCCAGGACACTGTCAGGTGTGCAGGTCAGTGGTACAAAAAGTATTTGAAGAGCCAGCAGCCAAGACTAGGTTCACTGCTGTGTAACATTTTTCTTGCCAATCTGGACAATGATAGATTGCACTTGAAGTAAATTCACTGATGACACACAGCTAGGGGCAATAGCAGTCTTACCAGAGGGCTATTCTGCCATTCAGAGGGACCAGGACAGATGGGGGGCTGTGTCTGACAGGAACCTCATAACAAGGAGAGAAGAATATCCCCAGACAGTGGAACATGAAGGGCCTGGTGGGCATGGCAAGTTAAACATGAACCAGAAGAGTGCCCTTGTTGCTGAGAAGCTTAACTATATTCTGGGTTTCTGCACTTTACAAAGTATCTCCAGCTAAATGAGGGAAATGATCCTTTCCTTCAGCATTGGTGATGCCATACCTGGAGTGCTGGGACCAGTTCTGCCCCATAGTACAAGAAAGACCTGGACATACTGCATGGACTTCCACAGAAGGCCACCAAGGTGCTACAGAGGCTGGAGCAGCTCTCCTATCAGGAGAGGTTGAGAAAGCGGGGACAGCTAAGACTGGAGAAGAGGCTCAGGAGGATCTCATCTGTGTCCACAGATCCCTGAATGAAGAGTGCAGAGGAGACAGAGCTAAGATCTTTTCAGTAGTGCCCAGTGCTAGGACAATAGTCAGTGAGCACCACCTGGAGTTACCTCTGACCATCATGCAGCACTTCTGGGCAGTTTGGGTGATAGAGCACTGGCATAGGGACCCAGAGGCTGTGGAATCTTCTCCTTGGAGATCTCCAAAAGCTGCCTGGATATGGGCCTGGAGTTGGAACAGTTGTCTCTATCAGTAGGAACTATTCTGTGACTGTGATTCTGCAAATGGTTGGAATGCATCAAAGTGGTGTATAACAGATCCCAGATTACTACAGTTTCTGGCTGTAAGTGAATGACATCATAGTTATTTTGACAGTACTTCCTTGAGAGCTACAGAAACAATACACTTTATCCACTTGCAGAGGTTGATTTTGACGATTTCCATTCCAGACATCATTGCAATTTTGTCTCAAAACAGAATGGGCAGAGCCATTTCAGTGTCAGGACTGCGATGTTTCTCCAGTATTAATTGTGCAGATCCAGGGACCTTGTGGGTTTAACTGGGATTTAGGAGTAAACCCGTTAGATGTTTCATTTTTGCTGTCACCTAAGCAGGAGAGAGCTCATGGAGAAACAGTTTCCTGAGGAAAGAAAAAAGAAAAATCTTGATCTTCTTGTCAGTACAGGTGCTGGACTGCTATTATTACTATTTTATATCTAAAAAGCAGATAGCAAAGAGGTGAAAGGCTGTATGAAGAACAAAGCTTGGAATCATTCAGAAACATCAGAACAGATAAATTGATTTTCTTGTGTACATTTCAAATGTATCAAGGCATTTTGTTTAATGATTTCCTTTTAAAGTAGTACCATGTCCAGAATATATATATATATATATTTTTTTTTTCCCCACTGCAAAAAACTGAGGCAAATCACAGGTGAAGGCCAATATTTCAGTCCACAAATGTCAGATGTCATTTTCACAAATCTGTAATTGTATCGCTGTGTGAGTGTCATGATGTAGATGTGTGTAATTTTGGAAGGAGGCTCTGAGGCACTGACAGGCAGACCTTTGTGTCTATTTGCTTCCTTAAGCACATCTGAGAACCAGAATCTAGGCAGCATGCTCCCACTCTCAAGAGTAGCCTGGCACTTTACATTGTAAAGTCTCTTTAAAAATAAATAGCTTATGGGGTTTCTGGGTGTTGTAATCACTTCGCATTCCACATGTAACATTTTGACTTTCCTGAATGAAACCAAAATAGGGCCTTTGACAAAAACAGCTGACTCAAAAGCACTCAAGAGATTGCTGGTGTAACTTCCTTATTTTAATGAAAACTTTCTCTGAAAACCACATTTCATGGTGCCTCTGGAGCTTCATCTGAGTGTTATCATTAATCCCTACTCACAGAGACAGTAAACTGAATAAACTCTTTGTTCTTGTTTTGTTTTTACTTTTCCTTATTCACAACTACTTGGTCAGCACAATGTTGAATTAATTTTGCATTTATCTCATACTGTCTTTACAGATCAATGACTGTGCTTTGGTTTAGTCTGAGGATGAAACAGTGGCAGCTCAACAATGAGTATTTGGACACTGAGTGAGAAGTCTCTGGTGTTCTGGACAGAGCTCCTCAAGATTGGATGAAGTTAACAGATTTGGAGGTAGCAGTTTTAAGAGGTGAGAAACTGAAGCAAATGCTGCAGGCCATGATGAGATGATCAGAAGCTCTAGCTTGCTAGTGGTGTGGTCATTTTGTAAGTGACTGCAGAGAGAAGAAGCTCCTTGCTTCACTCCTTGTCACACTAAGACACAATCCCCTTACCTCTTTTCGTTGGATTTCTGGGTCTGACGGAATTACAAAGCAAATTTTGCTTTCGAGGATCAAAACTCCAGCTTTACATAATGAAAGAAAATACTTCGTCTGTTTGTTTCTCCTTAAGATACTCATACCGAAATAGTTCACAAATATTTTTCCATGGTGAAATGTTTTTAAACTATATTATTTATTAAACATTTGCAATTTATTTCATAACAAACATTCTAGGTGCCAACATATCAAACGAATACAAAACTCCTGTGCATCAGAAAAGAACCCAGGTATTCAAAAAACTCTTCAATTCCTGCATTAAATGTCACAGTCTCAACAAGTGAATTGGTGTGGCAGCTATCAAAACAAGAAAGAAAATAACAAGATAGAAAAGGAAAGGAAAAGAGAATTCAAAGTCAGAAGACAAGAGAAAGCATGGAAAATAAACAAGAAAGATGATAGGAGCAGGGATAGATAGAAGTTGCAGTTCACTCTTGTCTTTAATTCAGGATTTCTTCAAAAATAGTTACCATAGAATCATAATCATATAATCATACCATAGAATGGCCCGGATTGGAAGGAACCTCAAGGATCATCAAGCTCCAACCCCTCTGCCAAAGACAGGGCCACCAACTTCCACACTGGTAGACCAGGCTGCCCAGGGCCTCATCCAACCTGGCCTTGAACATCTCCAGCAACAAAGCATCCCCAGACTCTCCAGGAAGCCTGTGCTAGCACCTTACCACTCTCTCTATAAAGAAATTTCCCCTGATATACAACCTAAATCCTCACTCCTTCAACTTAAAATCCTTTCCCCTTGTTCTCCTTGTTCTGTCATTATCTACCCTTGTAAAGAATTGACTCCCCTCCTGTTTATAGGCTCCCTTTAGGTACTGGAAAGCTGCAATGAGATCACCCCACAGCCTTCCCCTCTCCAGTACAGCCTTCTCTAGTCAGCCAGTTAAAAATTTATAAAGAAGGGTACAATTTTTCCAGACCCTTTCTGCTTTTGTGTATGAACCTTGCTTTTGCAGACGCTTTTATTATATGTCATGCCCTAAGGAAGAGGCAGAAAAATAGCATATTATTTCTCCCATAAATGAAAAGCATCCACTTTGTACCTATGGATCCTTTGATAATAACTTGTGGTACAGTGCTGGTCTGCAATTGTTAGATAATAATTCAGCTACTAAAATAATGAAGTATCTAGAAGATTTTCGATCTTCTAGAATCAACCTTCTTTTAAAGACGTTTGAAACAATAACTCATTACCCAATTACAGTTGCAAAGTTTGAGTTTTTTCCTTTGACTTCTTTATCATTGATAATTAGAGATGATTTTAATTCAGTAGAACTTGTTTCTTGTGTCTTGTGTCTTGTGGCCGGAGAGGATGCATTTTTCATGAACGCGACACAGCCAGATTCAATGTAATAGTTAATGCCAAGTCTTCTGCTGAATTTTCACTCTATTGCAGTTATAAACACATTCTTGAGAGGAAAAAGTCACTGGCAGCTGTATTTATGGGAGCCTCTGCCAGGCCCTTTTTCTAGTTTGATTTTCTTGCCTTGTAGTTGAAGGTCTGCATGCAACAATTACTGATTTGTCTAATTAGGAAATGATAATTTGGTCCTTGCTGAAAGAAGGGCAATAGGCTAACATGCATATGGTTGCAGGAAAGTTGTAAGGGAAGCCAGGCTTCCCTTTGCTTAGTGGATGCACATGAGCTGTGTTTACCATGAGCTTGACATATGAGTCTGTCCTAACAGATGGAAGGGTCCTTGTTTGCTGACCCATGGAGTTGATCTGCCCTATATTGGCGTGATGCATTCATAACTGTGATGTAGTGGGCACCTCTTAGTCCTTCTCCAATGTGGGGTCTCCAATAGCATGGATTATTCTGGGGCTGCAGCAATCTGTCAGGACATTCGCGGCTTAGAAAAAATATAATTATTGAAAGAAACTAGGTCTCAGATGGGAGGGAGAGGTATCTCCCTTTTTGAAGTCAGCAGTTAAAAAATATGAGCTATTTTGTTGTTAGTCTCAGAGATGATATAACCAAACTGTGTTTTAAATAACGCATTGATCATGCAACCAGAGGAATCACTTTTTCCCAACCCAGTTTTCAGCTAAAGCACAGCAATATTACACATATTTTGAATGAAAAATGTAAGACAAGATTTTCTTTTGCCTCTGGACAAGCTAGCTGTGATAGAGAAAACTCTAACCATCTTTATTATTCATCATCATACACCATATTTTGGTCCCCTGAAGAGAAAGCAGCTTCTTATGCTCACAGAATGTCAAGCATTAGTGAGATGCTGATTGGACCTCAAGGCACTCTCTATGTATGTATGACCATAAATGTTGGAAGGTGGAAAAGAAGACATGCTGTTCAGCATTTTCTACATTATTTGATTTAAAATATAGGGTGTAATTTTTGTGACCTTGTGATTTGAGAGTAAAAAGTGTCTGCAGTCCTTGTCAGGTTACTGATCCTTCAAGGCAGCTCTCAAATACTAAGCATTGTCTTCTGAACTGTACCTCTCTCCTGAATACCTACCTCCATCTGCCAAGCAGCTAGGGAGATGAAGATTTCTGAGGCTGAAGCTGTGCTACACTTGCAGGTAGTCTTCCTATGGCAGAGTAATGCTATCTACTGTGCCATTTAAAGCTGGAAGAAAATGTAGCCTTTGTGGCATTCCTAAGTGAAGGAGCAAGAAGGGTGGGTTTTGTGTGTATGTGCGTGTTTTTTTTCCCCTCACCATTAAACTGCTCTTGGAAATCAAAACACACTGTTGATATTTTGGGAAAGGGATCATTAAAAATGGATTCTATGACCATAAATCAAGTTCTGTACAAGAATTCAGCTGTGTATATGTTTGCTGAATCCTCATGATAAACAGCTGCACAACACAAGATTGCTACAGAAGGGTGTGTGGTTGAGGTACAGGGGAGTGCAGACAACTGCACAAGAAAATCAATTATGGGCAATGTACATCCCTTTTATTCACATTCATAAGGCCAGTACACATGTTCACAGAGAGCATTACACAGGTCTGTATTTATTAAGACACACAATTCTTTCATTTGGCTGGTCCCTGCAGCAAAACCACAATGCCACCGCAGAAGAGACAGGGCCCAATCATTCTCACCTCAACTGCCCTTTCAGCCACCACAAGCCCTGCTTCCCCTGAACAAAAAAGCAAAACTGTTTTTATTTGCATAGCCTAAAAACAGATTATGCCTTAGGAAAATAGCCAGAAGAAAAATCTACTTCAGAAATTCTAAAGAAAGGTTAAAAGATGTTATGCAGCCCTTAGCTATGTACTTCTTGCAGCAAAGATTTTTGTTTGACAGCTACATGTAAACACATAGCATGTTTATAGAGCTACTGCTGCTTGAAATTTAATCCTCCTGTATATGACGTATGTGGGGATTTTATTTTCGTGGGCTATGGCTGTTGAAGGTAGCAGGAGGTTGGTATTGTGATTATGGTCAATGCTGCAGAATTTCAATCAATAGACTATGGTGTGGCTTAGGCATGCTGAGAGGATTAGGAGACAAATGTCATAGATCTTGTGTTGCCAGAGGGATATTTTGAAAAACACCTGGAGCTGTAGCTCTTTAGCAGCAGAATTTCCCACGACAACTCTTTTACTTTACCATCCCTTTTTTATAACCTGCATCTTCTCCATGTATCACACTTATCCCTTACCACTAATCTACTTACATAATTACTCCCCTTTCTTCATCAATTCTTATTGTGTTTGTTTTTTTGCTTTTTGTTTTTCCCCTTTTTTTTTTTACTATTTACTTTCTTTGCTTCATTTTCAGAGGTAGGATGTTGGACAAAAGTTGAACCCAGACCATTCTTGGAGAGCTTCAGAAATTTGTTCTGCAGCCAAATGCCTTCTGGATGATCTCTTATGGGAAAGCACCAGTGTATTGATGCCTGATAGAATGGTAAATTTAGCCTACCACGTTTCAGATTGTTATGTCTCTTCTACTGTTTGTCTCCATCTTTATAGGAATTAGATCTTGTCATGAGAAGAATCACTAAGATGGTGCAATAAGGACTTGATTCTGCATCCTTGTGCAAGTACATACCATTGACCAAGATCACTGAGCAGCCAATCTTAATGACATCTCAGAAGAGTTGGATTGTAAGGACTTAGAGTCACAATTTTTACTAAATGACTCTTGAAATATAATTTTGCATTTTAAAAATATTCAGCTCGCATAGTAAATTCTTGTTTAAAGCTCTACTAGATTCCCCTTTCTGCCTTTCCTTCTAATAATAAATAAGTTGTTTGCCTAACATTTGGAGAGATGTTTATTTTTTTCCATTGCAGAAGAAATTCTCATGGAAAACGCATTAGCAGGCCTGGAACAAAAGGCGCAGAATGGGGAATTTCCCAGTGCATTCCACCGCCTGATTGTTCTGCTCAGTGTTGAGAACCATTTGGTGTGTTCATTTATAACTGCATGTTTTTGTACACAGTCATCCGGCTGCTGAGAGGAAAACACAACAAGAGCATGAGTGAGCAAAGAGCATCTTGAGAAGAGTTGAGACAAGTGGTTAGATCATATTTCTGCTTTGCAGTCCATATGCAGATTCAGTATTGCATCAAATGGCATGCAAAGCAGGGATAAAAGTCCATGCAGTGGATATTTTGTCATTATTGCCCAAAACAGGAAGATGTAGTTGAAGTCTGCTTTTCTGTGACACAGCAATTTCTTTTCTTATTAAGTTATTTGGCTGGGATGGCATATATTTATTTTTTTAGGGGTTCAACAAACTGTTGGAACAAGAAGCTCCATATTTCATTTAGAAGATGGATAGACTTGTCATAGTGGGAGAGGAGTGGTTAATTTTTGGCTGCCATGATAACAGCTCTCTGGCCACTGTTTCTATGCTTTAACTACTTTTGCAGTAGAAAGTTCATCATGAGGTTAGGTGATAGAGGTTGCATGTCTCCTGTGCTCATGGCAATTATTTCTAACAGCCTGGTCCTTAATGGCAAGGGGCACTGTATGATAATGGTGGGGATCTCAGAGGCAGTACAATTGCTGAGAGCAT